AACACACACACACACACACACACACACACACACACACACACACACACACACACACACACACACACAGTTTTTCTGTATTGAATTTTCAAAAGTAGAAAAATTTATATTTTTGTCTATTATTAAACATTGGATTAACGTACCAGATAAGAATAGAAACAAAAAAAGAAACCTATATATATAACTATTTTATAAGATCTTTTTATTTTTCATATAATTGTCAAATTTTTTTATTTTTTTTATGTATTAGATATAATAAACAGATTTAATAAAGCGTTAGTGAATTGTGAAAATATATAATTAATATATAAGTAACAATAAGTGAATAACATTATTCTTCATGGTAATGGAATTCTTCAGAAAAGTGTTATAAATATGAAAACTTATTACATTATTTACATATAATTGTAAGTGTATAATTGCATGATTACTACATATAAAATGACGCGATCATATGAAATTTTGTTGCGAAAAAGCGAATTCTATAGATTTTCAAAATTATTTGATTTTTCATTAATATATTCATTATTCTTGTTAATATTTCTTATATCATCTAAACAGCAAATATACTGTAATATCTTGGTGACAAAAATTGATTATGAATGAACTATAATTTAATGATATTATTATTTAATATTATTATTTATTATATAATATAACAAAATCGGAAAATTTCTATACAAAATTTTCTTATATTCTTTCCCAAAATCATATCAAGGACATCACATCATTCCTATAGCATTGTAAATATTTCTATATGCTGATTAAACGATATATTATTTTGTAATAGATTTTGTAATAGATGGGCAATAACCAATCCAAGAGTTTATATTAATAATAAAAACATTCCGAGATCCTGCATTCGATAGATTTGTTAATTATTCATTAAATAGTTCGTTAATTTTTCAAATATGAAGATTGCTACATAAATGTTCCATAATCAAAACAAAGATTGTTCTACACATGAATTAAAATTAGTATTTTAAAATAATAAAAAAGCGAAGAAAGAAATTTGCAGGAAGCTAATATTATTGCAAGTATAGTATAATTATGCATAGAAGTGGTTATTATATTATGTATATTAAAATATATTATTACCATAATCTTTATCTTTTCGATAATATATGATACAAAAAAAAAATACATAAAGAAGATAAAATAGTTATAAAATGGACATACCTAGTATCAGAATCTTTACAACTTCGAGCAGCAGATACGCGACTAAATAATATTTTGGCTAGATTGTCAATTTTATTGGTCAATTGATAATTCTTTTCTTCGTCACTATCTTCGTCTTCGATGCTTGCGCTTCTTCCACGCCTAAGAGTACTTCGAGCAGAGACTATAGCCTCAGAATCCAGTTCAATGGCACTTTGAGTTCTTCGATTGATGGCACGACGTTTTCGACGCGTCTTTGGACGTTCTTGCCAAAATCTATCATGTCCTGTGACATCTGATTCTTTATGATCATCGTCTCTTTTATTTAAATTCTGATATAAATTGAACATTTTGTTGAATTCTTTATATATTTATATTTTTAAATGAATGACATGAATCTCGTGCGTGTTACTTTAAATTTATTTATTTTAATTTTTAATTTCTCTTTCTTTGTTAGTGATATTATTATAGTAATATTATTACGCTGTTTCCTTTTATTACAAAAGCATTGAATTATAAGCATTTATAGCGTATTTACACAAAATAATCCATTAAATATATTTTTTTATATGGAATAATATATCTTAGAAAGTCATATTTCTATGTGATAATATATAGAACATTCGAAACAATTTTTTTAGTTTGTTATTTGCGCATAAAAAAATTTAAACGTCATGAAGTAAAGAAAAATTGATTTCCTACGAAACTTTTTTGTTTTTGTGTATGTATGATTAGCGAACGATCATATTCGCAATTTCTCCACATCTTATTGATTACGTATGTATAGTAATGTTATAATAAATATAGTATAATTATATAGTATAATTTGATAATTATTTTTTTATATATTTTATGATTTTGTTAAGGATTTACATTATAGTTTGATAGATACTGACAATTTATCTCTTTTATATTTGGCGATTAATTATTTCATTATTGTTGAATTTATTTCTTGATAACTTAAAAAATGAAAATTTATATTCGTATTTATATTTGATATATATTATATATATTCATATATACATATATATATATATATGTATGTATATTTATAATTCATATATGTTTAATGATTGCAAAATCACTGATAAAAATTTATCATAATATTGATAAAAATAAGAAGTTAATTAAGAATAATTTGTACAACGAAAATATAAAGTAAACAATTTACAAATAAACAAAACAATATTACGATAATACGTGATAATATAAACCGAATACCGCACTATCACCTAGTAAGGAAGACGACCGAATACTGAATATTGAGTATCCGATAAAGCCTCGTGCTAGTTTAGATCCCCCAGTTTGACACAGATTCGCTGGCCCAGCTGATTTTTACTTCGATTGCTGTAACTGCGCGTTTGCATTTTTACATTCTAATAAATACTGTGAATTAAACCATTTTTTATTTTTTAATATTTAAATAATATAATTATTATATTCATTGTATATAACCTATCATTTATTATTAATAATTATATCACTTTTTATAAAACATTTCATATCGTGATATTGTTATATTTAAATATATATATACAACTTACCAAATGATATATAAATTATTATAAAATTTAATTACAATTATTAAATTATGATTATTACGATAAAAATTGATGAATTATTTATATTTTTTTCTTTTTTTTTCATTATTAAAATATATCAAGATAATATGATGAAGCATAATGTTTATAATGAAATTTAAAAAGAAATAGAAACTTATTTATCCATAAAAAATATAAAAAAAAATTTATAAAAATGATTCAAAGTTTCATATTCTTCTATTTTGTTTTTATATACGTTTTTAATTTACAAGCATTCCTCATTGTGTTATTATGACGTAATTAGAAAAGGGAATTAGAAATGTAAATATGAATCCGATTAAATTTAATTTAAAGTAGGGCACGTTTCAGATCCCTTTCGATTCTCCTGATGATCTTAAAGACTATACATATGCGTGCGCTTTAAACATCGCAGTTTTATGGCTGCTCTCAGGGACATTTAAAAAAAAATGTTAAACAATTATTATTTTATTATTCAAAAGATAATTGCTTGATGAAATAAAAAAATTTAATCTTATCAATTGTATTTAAAAATATTTCAGTTTTACAAATTAAATATAATAGTAAATAAATATACTTATAAATAATACTTATACTTATAAATAATAAATATTAATAAATCAACTCAAAATATTAGAATAATATATTATTAATAAACATAAAATTATTTTAAATTTTTATATAATAAATAGATTTTTCATTAAAAGAAATTTTTTTTTAATATATTATGTTATTATATGAAAATAAACATTAATAAATAATATCAATAAATAATTAACAAAAAATTATTGTGTCAATATTAAATTTTAATTTTCCAGTATAATTCTAACATCTAGATTTATTACAAATAATTTTTAGTAACAAAATATTATTAAATAAAAAAATATATATTTAAAAAATTGATAATGTGTTTTAATTTATAATGTAATTTACTAGATAAAAAATAAAAGAATGAAAAACAAAATTAGTTATAAAAGATGATTAATAACTGAATAAGTAAATAACTTTTTTTATTATTATTATTTAGTTTAATTTAATTAATAATAATAAATTTACTTTATAACTATTAATTTATATAATTTATATCAAATGAAATTAAAGAAAACATACAAAAAAGAAAAATGTAGTAATATTTTTTGAAAAATTTAATTTGAAGAGAACATAAATAAAAAAAAGAGAAAAATTTAAATTTCTTTCAAAAAGATATAAACAATATAAAATGCAAATTGAAATAAAGGAATTTCATCTGAATAAATTCATGTAATATCATATATTCATACAATAATTGTTTATTTTTCTATATTTACTTAGAAAATAATTTTTATATTTTTTATTATTTTTAAATTAAAGAAGTAATTAATTAAGTTATTGAAGCAAATTAAGTATTGATATGTAATTACATAAATAATGAAACAATTTTAATAATTATATTTCCAATTTATAAATATTTTTTATTATCTATTTATTCATTGTGAAAAAATATAACATTATAATAATTATATTCTTAATGAATATTACTATATTTTCTTATTAGATAGTTTATTATAATCATAATTTGCCATAATCATAATTTCTAAAATACAAATAATTTTTTTTAAATAATTTAAATGAAATATTTATGAAAGTTGTATGATATTATATTAAATAATATAGATTAATAAAAATATTATTTCTACTTTATACATAGTTAGACTTAATAATAATTAATAACATCAATTTCAAAGTATTGAAACATAATCAATATATTATTGCAAAAGGAATTTATTATAATTTTTATATTTAGAAAGAAAGAGATCTATTTTTTAATTCTTGCTTATTTACATTAATAGTATGCTTGCTTACATTAATAGTATATATACATATCAATGAGATTTGTTTAACTTTTCTCGAGCAAGTAAAATTTTAAATTGTAATGGCCAACTGTTTAATGGACGCCTATTGTATATCTATTATAGAATTATATTTGTTTTATTATTAAAGAGATTATATATGTTTAAAATTAACTTAAAATCATGTTATTACCTCTGATACAAAATTTAAAGCCTCACGTCGAGAAAATTCATATTCAGCACGGGGACCCCACTTAAATTCTATTTTAATTGAATCATTTCGTTCCAGTACAATTTTATCAAGATATTTTTGTGCAACAAAGACCTATAAGACAAATTTTAATTCAATATCAATTTTATATTTGATTTATTCAATTAATTTTCTTATATTTTCTTCTTTTTAGTTTTTTACCTCATTTATTAAATATTTAACATTGCCAAAATAAGGATGACAATGATTGTCTAAACAAGAAATATCCAAATTAGTAAGAAAATCCCATAATGATTCTGAAATAATTTTATACATTAAAAAAAAAAGATCATTTTTAAACAATTCTATATATTTCATTGTTATGTGTAGCATTATTACCTTCAGTACAGGATTCTTCTTGCATAAAGATATGAGTAAGTACTATAAATAATAATACTTGTTGGCTACTTTCTGTTGCACATGGATAAATGTGTGGTAATTCATTTTTTATTTCGTTTACTAGCATATATTTATTACCTTCAAGTTCTATCAATTGATATCCAAAAATCTATGAATGTATAAGCACATGCATGATATTAATTATAATATTAAATAAATTTTAATTTTATTTATACCTTTGACAAAAGATCTTTTGCTTTGTTCATTATTCTAGAAAAATGTTTTCCTTGATTGTCAAAAACATTTTTAATTATACGAGTTTTATTGACAATTTGTTTTCCTCTATCTAATACAAAAAAGTATCGTATCAGATTATTAACTAAACGATCATCTTCTTCGAAAATCATAGAATCAGGCGAAAAGTTTTGCGATTTTTCATTAATATATGATATATTTGTACTTGTACTTGGAATAGGCTGAGAAAGAGTGGTAACATTATTCTTTTTTTTGACGATTGATTGTGATAAGTTCTTTTGTTGATTTTTTCCATGATTTCGTGGTAAACCTTAAAAAAAATATTTATAAATTTTATGCATATACTATGATATATTATATATTTCTTACCCATGAAGTATGATAAAGAAGTATTATAGAATTATTTTTATTTTTTGTAAATAAAATTCAGGATATATATAAAACGTTTCACGTGGCCATTCGGAATTTTATTACAACGAGATTTCTATTGTAACGACATCTATCGATCATTAAGAATGATATAAACTTATTTTTTGTATCATGAATTTGAAGGAGATAACCATAAATAAAGTATAAAGATTTTTTATTGAATAGACTATCTTCTAAAATATGCACGTAAAAATATGTAAAAATCATAAAAGTCATATTTGTTTTATAGAATTTAAAACAGTGAATGTAGAAATTTTAAATTTGAAATATCAAAATTGCTGATTAATTATCAACTAAATTAATTAATAAAAAAAACAAAAATAAAAATATAACTAATACGTAATTTATATAATTTTAGATATATTATAATTTTAATAATAATTTTAATAATAATTATAGATATAATTTTTTTCATATACGCAATTCTTATATAAAGAATGTTCCAAAGGAATTATTAACAAAAAGCATTGATCAATCATAGAGTATATAGCTTAATCAAACCACTAGATGATAATGTTACCGATCGAGCACAATCAAATTCAAGCAATATATATTGAAAAAAGTGTAACAAATATAAATATAACAAATATTTTTTTATGAATAAAAAATTATATCGAATTATATCACGAACACTGAATAAATTATAATATTCAATATACTTCAATATACTTTGATATATTGGATTTGTTCGTATTTAATTGACGATATGCCGACTATGCGTTTTGTGATTGGCTAATATATATAATATATATATATACAAAGTCCCAAAAATGTGAGAACATCAGTTACGAAAATTTCTGAGATAATTTTAATTAAA